AATAAAATATTCCAGTCAAATTACTGTAACGAAGAATCTAAAACACAATATTACACGTATATAGGTATGATTGTAGAGTTGTTAACCAGTTAGACAAAAGAAACGTTATTGGACGTTGTCATCTCTCCCATGGTCATCCCACCCGTTCGGTGACCACACGCTTGACTCTGGGGTGAGAAACTAACTGAAGCCATAGCAGAATTGGCAGACGGAGGAAATGGCAGGAACTCATCCAGTCCACAAACATGACCCATAGTAGTAGAAAAGCGTGGAAGACAATTCGGATGCTAGGAAACGACCTCTCTAAAGTACAACCAAGACCAGAAGTGACTGCTGACCAGGTTGCTCATCAACTCCTTGTGAACAGCCAGGGACCCCATAATCATCATCCCAGTAGGGCCAAACTACCAAAGGCTCATTGTACTACACAAGAGAACCAAGACTTCACAAGACCTTTCAATATGAGCGAACTGACTAAGGGTATCAAATTGATGAAAAATAATAAAGCTGCCGGACTTGACGATATTTTGTGTGAGCAGATCAAGCATCTCGGCCCTGCTGCTCTTCAATGGCTGCTTGATATGTTTAACAGCTGCCTCTGCACTAACAACATCCCAAAGCTGTGGAGGAAAGCCAGAGTCATTGCAATACTAAAGCCTGGTAAAGACTCAGCTAGTCCAGCTAGCTATAGGCCCATCTCATTGCTCTGCCATACATACAAGCTCTTCGAAAGACTCATTCTCAACCGTTTGACCCCTTACATGGACAAACTCCTCATCCCAGAGCAGGCAGGTTTCAGACCAGGAAAATCCTGTACAAGCCAACTCCTTAACCTTACCCAGTACATCGAAGACGGGTATGAAAAAGAGTTAATTACTGGAGCAGCTTTTGTTGACCTCTCCGCAGCCTACGACACAGTCAACCATCGAATTCTAACCAAAAAACTATACCAGCTAGTAAAGGATGTGAGACTAGCAGAACTAATCAGGAACATGTTGGCAAACAGGCGGTTTTTCGTGGATCTCAATGGTAACCGCAGCAGATGGCGTAGACAGAAAAATGGCCTCCCTCAAGGAAGCGTCCTGGCCCCTCTGCTCTTTAATCTATACACAAATGACCAGCCAGTACACACAAACACCAGGAGTTTCCTTTATGCAGATGACCTCTGCATTGCTTCACAAAAACAGTCCTTTGGCGAAGCCGAACGGTCCATCACCGATGCTCTCGCAGGCCTAACCACCTACTACACAGCAAACCATCTACGAGCCAATCCCGGGAAAACTCAAATAAGTGCCTTCCATCTAAAGAACAAGCAGGCGAACCGGCCAACTGAAAGTCAAATGGTAT